TAGTACGAGGGTGTGTTTACACCTTATGATAACTGATTACATTCATGTTCCATTTAACTAAAAATAATGTTGTCATAAGCAGTTAATAACATATACAGCTGATTGAATGACAATCAAGTAAAATAGATGATTTTGTTATTTTCTTCTACAGCCACCTTTCTCTTCCCATTTCAAGTTATATAATATATCCTAATGTCATTGATTCTTATTACCAGCTCCTACCTATCACTACATCCAACTTATACTTGCATTATTTTACAATAGGATCAAGGACTATATGAGTTGTTTATAACAATTATAGAAATACCATCATTAACACTTAACAGATGGAGTACTTTAACTGTTTCCTTCAGTTAGTATTTAAAAATGCAGCATATGAATCAGCTAGTGCTGTAGAGCATTGGTACATATATCTACATATTGTATATTAACATTTAACAACAGTCTACTTTACTTATGCCATAGGTGATAATGAATTGGTTAACAACCATGTGTAGTAAAAATTTTTGTGAAGATGTAAATTTACTGAAGTTAAACAACAACCTGCAGACCACAAGCACATGCATTAAACTAGTGGCAGTGTAATGTCAGCCTTCATTTTGCAAAAATTTGACTTTGTGAATCGCTACTAAAGAAATATTCCTAATAATTTTATTATTATTATATAGTTATTTTTCTCAGTATATGATTGTCAGCATCACATGCTTCATAATTAATAAACAATCAATAATACATACATGTAAATATGGTATGAGTCCATTATTGTATGCTAGTAAATTAACAATGTGTCAGTTCATGTTCTTTTGCTGTGAAAAGTTTGAACAGATTCTGATTAGAATTGGATTTCCATGAATTTTTTAATTTGTTCAAAAATCAAGCCGAAATTTCTGTACTATGGTACTAGAACTACTGGGTTTTCAATCAAGTTTTATAAAAAAATTGCTAGAAAAAAAATTCATTTTTATGAGTTTTTCTGATACATACGCATGTTCTTATGCTGTGTAGAAATTTTGAGAGGATTCCAATTAAAAGTATAGAATTTTCTATGAATTTTAAAGTTTGCTTAACAAAGTTCTTGTACTGTTAGAGTAGTACAAAAGTCTTCAAAAAATGGATACAAGACAATTTTAATTTCTATTACATTTCTTCATGCACATAACTGTCTTTTTGTTGTGTGAAAATTTGAGCTGATTTTGATAAAAACTTGATTGATGATTTTGACATTCCATTGGAACCCACCTTGATTATCATGATTCAGCTAAGGGGTCTGTATTTTAAAAATTAATGTAAAAAGAACATTAAATCTACATAGTATTCAGCAAAAAGTATAATGGCATGTACATAATAATACTTCTGTTCTGTCTCTAGGTTATAAAACTTCATTCCTCTTTAATTATGAATGTCAGAATAAATGACATTGACTGCAATATTTTCGGTGAAGATGCCACCCTGTGTACTTGCTGGGTCAAGATCAGCATACACTATGCCATCACCTCTCTTCTTCTACAATAAAAAATGCAATAGATGTTATAAAAGGTGTAGGAAACTACTACCATCCCCAGCAAAAATAATATACCATTAAGAATAATTGGAATTACAGTGTGAACATAGACTTGCTGCAGTGAATCATAAAAAATCTCTACAATTCTATACTGTCGCTTTGCGTAGGTAAAGACTAGTTTTTTAGTGTCTATTTGAAAGCCAACCACATAAATTCAAAGTACATATAGCATACTCATTCTGAATAGGTTCAGCGCCCAATCTAAATTGCGTTTAGCTGCTTATGATATTGTTTACACAAAACAAACATGTTTATAACAGCTGCAATGTAATAACAGCATTCAAAATCTACATTTACACGTGCAGTATTATTAGTATGGCCATCATTTGCTAATCTACTATGTAAGGTGATGTTATGGTAATAAATGACTAATAATGCACTTTGGTTGTGTACACAGTTTTTGATAGCTTTTCATTTACAAATGATAACACAATTTTACCTGTGTAACATGTAGTGTTGTTTTAGTTACACAATTTACTTAATATGCTGATACTACTAGCATCACAATGAGCTATAACATCATTTCTACATTGCATTACTTCAAAATCCTACTCTATATTCATTGTGTTATTGTGACATTATAAAATGCAATCTAAAGTTGCATTTGGCATATAGCATGGTTAGATATGTACATCATTGAACTCACCCTTTCTTTATCAACTTGAGCATATACTACTTGTTTTTGTGGCTCTTTCTTCTTATCCACTTCAGCATATAAATAACCCAAATTAGGTGCTTGTGTCCTTTGTATAATACAAGGATCCTGATACATATATGTAGGCATCTCAAGCTGAGAAGGAGGATGTCTCATTGAGGTTGGTGCTGCATCTCTTGTAATGTCTTCACTGGCCATAGCCTCTTCATATATAGGGCTAGCCTGACTATTCTCAGGACTAAACAAGAAAATTATAATAATCTCACAATTGTAACTCACTTTGAGTATCTACTCATAGTTACTAATGCAATAGGCTCTGATGAATCTAAAGGAAGAAATGTGCTTTAATAATAATTAATGTGTATATTGTGTGCATAATTAGAAGCTTGTGAAATTGGCCTAGCTTTTTCACTTTAATTAAAAATTAGAATAAAGATATTTCTGTGCTTTATATTATGTGAAAAAACTGACCTTTCTCTCCTTTCCAAGGTTTACGCCAAATCAGGCAACCAACAGTAATGAGTATCAGTATAATGATGACAATAACTGCTAAACCAGCTCCTATACCAGCATACACTGAA